TTTGTTTGTCCCTTTGTTTTGGTTTTTAGATTCCACATGTAAGTGAAACCATATGGTATTTGTCTTTCTCTATTTGACTTACTTCACTTAGCATAATACCCCCTAAGTCTATTCATGTTGTTGCAAATGGCAAGATCTCATTCTTTTTTATAGCTGAGTCATGTTCCATTGTATATATACACCACGTCTTCCTTATCCATTCATCCATCAGTGGACACTTAGGTTGCTTCCATATCTTGGCTATCGTAAATAATGCTGCAGGGGTGCCTGGGTGGCTCAGGTGGTTGTGTCCGAATTCAGCTCAGGTCATGTTCTCATGGTTTGTGAGTTCAAGCCGTGCATCGGACTCTGTGCTGACAGCTCAGAGCCTGGAGCCTACTTCAGATTCTGTGTCTCCCTCTGCCTCTGCCTTCCCTGGCTCGTGCTGTCTCTCTCTCTCTCTCTCAAAAATAAATAAACATTTTAAAAAATTAATGAAATAAAAAAAAATAATGCTGGAATGAATATGGTGCTGCATATATCGTATTTTCATTTTCCTCGGATAAATACCCAGAAATGGAATTGCTGGATCATATGGTATTTCTGTGTTTAATATTTTGACCCCCATACTGTTTTCCACAGTGGTTGCACCAATTTACATTCCCACAAACAGTACATGAGGGTTCCCTTTTCTCCACATCCTTGCCAGTACTTGTTATTTCTTGGCTTTTTGATTCTGGCCATTCTAACGATAGCTCATTGTGGGTTTGATTTGCCTTTCCTGATGATTAGTGACTTGAGCATATTTTCCTGGTCTTTTGGCCATCCGTGTGTCTTCTTTGTAAAAATGTATATTCAGGTCTTCTTTTTAAATCATATTATTTACTTTCTGATGTTGAGTTGTATGAATTCTTTATGTATTTTTAATGTTAACTGCTTATAGATATATCATTTGGAAATGATATATATATCACTGATGATATATATGTATATCAGTGATATATTTCCCATTCAGCAGGTTGCCTTTTTGTTTTTTGATGGTCCCCTCTCTGTGCAAAGGCTTTTTAAAAGTTCAGTGTAGTCCCAACTGTTTATTTTTGCTTTTGTTTCCCTTGCTTGAGGAGACACATCCAAAAAAAATATTGCTAAGGCTGATATCCAAAAGTTTACACCCTGTGTTTTCTTTTAGAAGTTTTATGGTTTCAGGGCTTACATTTGGGTCTTTAATCCATTATGAGTTTATTTTTGTGTGTAGTGTAAGAAAGTAAGCCCAGTTTCATTCTTTTGCACGTAGCTGTCCAGTTTTCCCAGCACCATTTGTTGAAGAGCCGGTCTTTTCCCCACTGTATATTCTTGCCTTTTTTATCATAGATTAAAAGGTACTGTCTACAAATGGGCTTATCTCTGGGCAGTCTATTCTGTTCCATTAATATGTATCTGGTTTTGTACTACTACCATACTGTTTTGATTACTACAGCCTTGTAGTATAGTTTGAAATCTGAGGGCATGATCCCTCCAGCTTTATTCTTTCTCAAGATTGCTTTGGCTATTTTGGGGGTCTTTGTGGTTCTGTATAGATTTTAGTATTACTTGTTCTAGTTCTTTAAAAAACACTATTGATATTTTGATAAGGATTGCATCGAATCTGTATTTTGCTTTGGATAGTATAGACATTTTAGCAATATTAATTCTTCAAATCCATGAGCATAGAATATCTTTCCATCTATTTGTGTTATCTTCAGTTTGTTTCATCAGTGTCTTATAGTTTTTAGAGTACAGATCTTTCACACTCTTTGGTTAAGTTTATTCTTAGGTATTTAATTCTTTTTGATGCAGTTATAAATGGGATTGTTTTCTGGATTTCTCTTTCTGATAGTTCATTTTCAGTGTGTAGAAATGCATCCAATTTCTGTGTATTAATTTTGTGTCTTGCAACTTTACTGAATTCATTTATTAGTTCTAATGGTTTTGGGGTGAGTCTTTAGGGTTTTCTATATATAGTGTCATGTCATCTGCAAATCATGACAGTTTTATTTCTTTTTTGCCATTTTCGATGTCTTTTATGTCATTTTCTTTTCTGATTACTGTGGCTTGGACTTCCAGTGCTATGTTGACAAAACTTTGCCTCACTTTCTTTCTTTGCAAAATAAGGATAATAATAAGTATCCTCATGATGGGTTGTTTTGAAGATTAAGTAAATTACCGTTTTATGAAACTGTTAGGAAGATGGTGGAATAGGAAGCACCAGCAATCTATCTCTTCACTTAGACAACAATTGCATCTGTCTAATGTAACTGTTTTGGAACTCTGGAGTCTATTGAAGGCTTACAACTTCCAGGAGAAGGCTTGGAGAATAAATTGGGGATAACATCAGTCAATTTTCAGCTCTTAGTCAGTACCATTTCCCCCAGCCATATGGCAGGCATCTGTGTACATGATCTTGGAATAGCTTGCACAGAGTTTGCAGGAGCCTAGGTGGGCAAAAAGGAACAGGTCCTCCAAATATCAGGGATCTGTGCTGTTTGCTGATTGTTGCTTCTGATCACAGAGTTGCAGACAAATGCAATTTGTTGCATTGTTGCACTTCCTCTTCCTCCCATTGTCGCAAGCCCTTCCCTCAAAAGCTGAAGTGACTTCCGAAGGACTTAAAGGGCTGGTGCCTTCCCCTCCCCCTCTTCACTTTTCTTTTTTCCCCTTTTGGGAGCCAGAAAAGAAAGACTAGGGCATTAAAAAGCAACTGCATATATGGGAAAAATCAGAAAGTGATTATACATGCCCAGGGAAAGATACAGGCTCAGAAAAAGACCTGAGATGACCTTAAGTTTATACCTGAGGCTGATCCTTGACATAGAGACAGCCTATAATTTTAAAAAATAACAAAAAACGGGGGTGCCTGGCTGGCTCAGTCAGAGGAGAGTGTGACTCTTGATCCCAGGGTTGGGTGTTTGCACCCCACATTGGGTGTAGAGATTATTTAAAAATAAAATCTTCTGGGGCGCCTGGGTGGCTCAGTCGGTTAAGCGGCCGACTTTGGCTCAGGTCATGATCTCACAGTCCGTGAGTTTGAGTCCCACATCGGGCTCTGTGCTGACAGCTCAGAGCCTGGATCCTGCTTCAGATTCTGTGTCTCCCTCTCTCTCTGACCCTCCCTCGTTCATGCTCTGTCTCTCTCTGTCTCAAAAATAAATAAAAATTAAAAAAAAATTTTTTTTAATAAAATCTTTTAAAAACTTAAAAATAAATAAATAGCAAGACCCAGCAAATCCTAGGAGAAGGGGGAGAATCTGCCCTCCAGAGTTACCACATTATTGAATTCAGATGTCCAGTTTTCAACTAAAAATCACAAGGCATACACAAAAAAATAGGAAAATATAGCCCATTCAAAACAAAAAAATAATCAACAGAAACTGTCCCTGAAAAAGCCGTGATTCCAGATATGCTAGACAAAAATTTAAAACAACTGGCCTAAAGATGTTCAAGGAACTAAAGAGAGAGATGTTGAAGGTCAAGAAAATGGTTGATAAACAAGATGGAAATCTAAGTAAGGAAATAGAAAACCTAGGAAGAAACCAGAAAGAAATTCTGGAGCTGGAAAGTACAATAACTGAAATGAAGACTTCACTATAGAGATTCAAAAGCAGAAGAAAGAGTCAACAAACTTGGAGTTAAAGAAAAGAGAGCAGAGCTTGAGAGACTTTCGGGACACCATCGAGTAGGCCAACATGTATTATGGGAGTCCCAGAAGGAGAAGAGAGAGAATATTTGAAGAAATAGTGGCTGAAAACATCCTTAATTTGATGAAAGACATACATACAAACATCCAAGAAGCTCAGTGAACTCCCAAGTAAGATGAACTCAGAGAGACCCACACCAAAACATATCATAATCAAACTTTCGAAAGGCAAAGACAAATAGAGAATCTTGAAAGCAGCAAGAGAGAAGCAGCTTGTCACAGGGGCTCATCAGTAATATTTGCAGATTTCTAATCAGAAACTTTGGAGGCCAGAAGGTAGTGGGTTGATACATTCAAAGTTCTAAGTGGAAAGTAAAAAAAAAAAAGAAAGGTCAGTCAAGCAAAACTGTCCTTCAAAAGTGAGGGAGAAATTAAGACATTCTAAGATAAACAAAAGTCTTTGTTACCACTAGACCTGCTCTGCAAGAAATGCTCAAGGGCATCTGACAGGGTGAAATGAAAGGACACTAGACAGTAACTCAAAGCCATATGGAGAAGTATCTCAATAAAGGTAAATACGTGGGCAGTTATAAAAGCTAGTATTATTGTAACAGTGGTTTATAACTTCACTTTTTGATTTCTGTATGATTTAAGAGGCTAATACATTGTTAAAAACAATGATTAGTCTACTTACCTTCTTGTAACTTTGGTTTTTAATTCCTCATTTTTGTTTTCTATACAATTTAAGAGACTAATGAATAGAAGAATACTTAGTTTATGTTTTTGGGCACATAGTACATAGAGATGTGATTTTGTGACAAAAACTGAAACAAAGGCAGGGATAGAGCTGTAAAGGAGCAGAATTTTTCTGTTTTGAAGTTAAATTGGAATAAATTCAAATTAGGATGCAAAATGTAATCTCCATGGTAACCATGAAGAAAATAGCTATAGAACATGGACAAAAGGAAATGAGAAAGGAATTTAAACTTTTTGTTCAAAAAAATCACCTCGGGACGCCTGGGTGGCTCAGTTGGTTAAGCATCCAACTCTTGGTTTAGGCTCAAGTCATGATCTCGCGGTTCATGAGTTCAAGCCCCACATTGAACTCTGAGCTGATGGTACAGAGCCTGCTTGGGATTCTGACTCTCCCTCTCTCTCTATCCCTATCCTGCTCATGCTCTCTCTCTCTCCACATAAATAAATAAACATTAAAAATTTTTAAAAATCAGCTAAATACAAAAAGAATTCAGTAATGCAGGAAATGAAGGACAAAAAGCTATAAGGCATTTAGAAAACAAATAGCAAAATGACAAAAGTAAGTCCTGCCCCCACCCACCAGCAGGACAGTAGTTTAAACCTAAATGGATTTAACTTTCCACTCAAAAGACAGATTGGCAGAATGGATTTAAAAACAAAACCATGATCCAACTGTATGCTGTCTACAAGAGACTCACTTTAGATCCAAAAACACAAATGGATTGAAAAGGGTGCGGGGCATCTGGGTGGCCCAGTCGGTTAAGCATCGGACTTTGGCTCAGGTCATGATCTCACAGTTTGGGGGTTTGAGTCCTGTATCAGGCTCTGTGCTAACAACTCAGAGCCTGGAGCCTGCTTTGGATTCTGTGTCTCCCTCTCTTTCTCTCTCTCCCCCGCCCCTACTCATGCTTTGTCTGTCTCTGTCTTTCAAAAATAAATGTTGAAAAAAAAAAATGAAAGGCTGGAAAAAGATATCCTATGCAAATAAAAGTAACCGACAGAGAGCAGGGATGGCTGTACTAACATCAAAACCAAAAAGTTTACAAGAGGCAAAGAAGGACATTATATATTATTAAAAGGTTCAGTACAGCAAGAAGATACAGCAATTATAAACATTTATGTATCTAACGACAGGCCATCAAAATATATTGAGCAAAGTTGATTAAATTGAAAGGAGAAATAAACAGTTCTACAATAATAGTTGGAGACTTCGGTACCCTCCTCTTAATAATGGATAGAACAAGCAGACAGGATAAGTAAGGAAAAAGAGGACCTAAACACCACAAGAAATCAAATATATCTAATAGACATACACAAAGCACCCTATCCAACAATAGAGGAGACATTCTTCTCAAGTGTACATGGGACATTTTCCACAATAGACCATATGTTAGGTCACTAGTTAAGTCTCAGTAGATTTTAAAAAGATACCATACAAAGTATCTTCTCTGAGCACAGTGTGATGAACTTAGAAGCCAATGACAAAACTGGAAAATTTAACAAATTTGTGGAAACTAAACAGCACTCTTAACTAGTAGATCAAAGAAGAAATCACAAGGGAAATTAGAAAATTGCTAGCGATGAATGAAAATGAAAACACACCAAATTTAGGAGATGCATTGCTAAGGGGAACCTTATAGCTACAAACACTTAAAAAACAAGAGGGATCTCAAATCAAAACTCAACTTCTTTT